TATAATAAAAATATTTTCTTTAATAAAAATAAAAACTTCAACATCTTAAGTTTATGTTAAAAAAATTATTTTTTATACTGAAAGATAAGAGGCAAAATTCGTTCACTATTAAAAAATAATCGTACAATATTTCTTCGTTTCTTATTTCATCCTTTTGCACGTCTATCCATTACACATTATAATTAAAATGCATCACGAATTTTCGATTTCTCTGTTTCAGCGAACGATGGACAAGATTGATGAGAGGCAACGCGTGGCAACGTTACTTTTGCAACTATTTCCCTATAAAATTAGTGAAAACTACCGACCTGGATCCGACCAAATCGTATTTATTCTGCAGCTTTCCACATGGAATTCTGTCCACAGGAGTATTCGGCGCATTCGGAACGGAGCATCTCAACTGTAAAAAAGTGTTTCCGGGTTTGGATTTCCGGGTCGTGATACTGGAACAACACTTTAAAATCCCGTTCTTCCGTGAATATGCCTACATGGGCGGTACGTATCATTAATAAATTTTTATTTTAACGCATGTGGCGTAACAAGTAAGTGTAACGTAAAACCTCTTGATTATATATTTTTTAGAAACAAAATAAAAGAAAACACATTATTTAATTTTGTTTAAAGATAGAATTATAACTTCAATGATATATGAATTATGAAGAGTTTATAAAAATTTATAGAATTTTATTACTACTTTTTTATCTTAAAATTGTTTCTTTTCTTTTATTTTGCTTGATGAAATATTATTGAATGTTTCAAAAGAATTTCAAAAGCATAAGTGTAAAGTATATTTTTTCCTCGATTTGTATCATAAATTATCTATTCATTTACAAACCTCTTTGTAAATAAAGTCTATCAGTTTAAGAAAATATTAAAGGAAAAAGTCAATATAGATTATTAAGATATTTATTTCAATATTTTCACAAGATGTGCTAATAGAAATTCAATGATAACAATGTATATAATCAGATAAATTATGAGTCATAATATAATTATGACTATTATAACATATTGCATCAATTAATTTAATACAATTTTTAATCGGTGATTCAATATTTTATTTCTAATTTTCAAATATTTCAGTGATAAATATTGCATGTTAATTATTGATATTGTATATTGAATTAAGTTTTCTTACAAAAAATTAATCATCAATAATTGAAGAGAAAAAGAAAGGAACTGTGTATAAAAAGTCTGCATAACCAGAGAAATTATATTTTCGCGTAAAAAAATTATTTAAAAATCAAAAGAAAAAAAAATATTTAAAAATATTTACATTGAAACGAAGCTTGAATTAATTTGAATCGTTTGAATTTTAATTTTTTTAATTTTTTCGTATTTTTAATTTTTTCAATTTTCTTTTTTTTTTTTCTCATATTTTTAATTTTTGTTTAAAAACGTAGCCGGTATCAGCAGTTCCCAAAGAAGTTTAATCCATCAGCTATCGACGAAGCCCGAGGCACCATTCACCGGAAGAGCAACCATTCTTGTTATCGGTGGAGCATGGGAATCATTGGAATGTAAGCCGGGCAAATATCGTATCCTGCTAAAAAGGAGAAAAGGCTTCGTTAAGATTGCGCTGAAGCATGGGTTAGAATTATCAATGTTTACATTGATTCGTATTACAAATTCGCGAGAATATTGAAAAAAAAAATCTACATTAAATATGTGCATACATTTATCTGCTTTAGTACTATTTTAGTACCATGACGTACGTTACGAAAAAAATGTCTTGTTTAACTTATGAAAAATAATATATTAAAGTAATATCATCATTAAAAAAATCATATTTAAATGATTTTCTTCTCAAAGAAAATCACGTTTAAATGAAATAAAAATTAAAATCAAAAAGATTACATCAGATTTCATCTTTTTCATCGTTATAAACATGTTACTGTACATGACAACTCACTCATATAAGTTTTCATAGCAAACATTCGAAATATGTCTTTTCTTTAGACGATGTTCCAAGTATATCTTTCTTATTTTACTATTCATTAAAAATTGCAAATAACAAAGATAATAATATTCGTAATAATATTAATATTAATATGAATTTCATTTCGTACTAAATCATAAAAATGTGGTTTTCTTTGTGAGAAAAACGAAGTATGATTTCGAATTTTACGAAAACAATGATTTCTAACGTAATGCACGTCATTTTAATTTTTAATATTATGCAAACGAGCGGCTTGCAGCAGTTTGCCATCAATATATTTTAACATTAACATAATTAAGTATATACATTATATAAAAAAAGTCACGTAAAAAATTATGAAAATTTTTTGCGACAACTTTATAAACATTCATTATATTCATTATTAGAAATATACACTGCCGCTCAACTATGAAATAATAAAATATATTGTTTTCAAGATCGGGGAAAATAGATTTTTAAAATGGATAATTAGAAATAAATATTTTTATTTAATATTATTAATTTTAGATTTTAAACTATAAAATTAAACGTGTTATATTATGTTATGCTATATTGAATATCTTTGAAGGATTTTCAACCAAACAAACACAAAAGTTATATTATTATTATAAAATATAATAATTTATTTATTAAGTTGCAAGCAATTGAAGTTTTCATTAGACGAAACGAGGTGGATTTAGAGTAAGACCATTTTGTCTCTGTTACATTATCGTCGCTCTCTATTTCTGTCTCGCTTCACCAATGTTAATTTATGTTTAGTTTATATTGTTTATAACTTAATAATATTATCTTTGACAATTATTGCATTTCAATTAAACGAAAAATAAATATTTTATTGGCATCCAATCCAAATGTAAATTGACTTAAATATTGAATGAAATAATATTTTCAGATAATATTTGCTTATGTTTTCTTAATATTTGTTCTAATGTATTTTAAATTCTTCTAAATTTTTGCTTTTAATCAAATAATTTACATTAACATATTGCATCAATTTTTTATCCTTCGTCAAAAAAATTGACGTTGAAATTCGAAAAGAAGAAATAATCATCAAAAAAAAAGGAGGGGAATATATAAATCGCAGTAAATTGCCGCAAACCGATTATTATCTACATCAATTTTTACATTTTTTATTTAATACGTTCAGTGTTCAAAATTTTAGTATTATTCCTAATTGATTGATTGTGATAAAATCTGATCAAATAAAATATCATTTAATCTATTCAATTTTACAATGATGATGGTTTTTTTCCATTAAGTAATTAAAATAATATAAATAAATCCAGCGTTATTCATTTATAATCATTTATGAATTATTCTTCTTTTTTGTTCTATGCTTGCATTAATGAAGATAATTTTAAAAATTTCTTAAACATTGAATATAAATTTTTGACCTATTGATTTCAATTGTATTCAAAAGTTCGTATATTTTTTCATCTTTTTTCATATAAAATGCTCATTTTTTATTATATTAAAATCACACATAATATTATATAAACAATAGTCTATTTTTACTTGCATTATCGAATTTTACATAACAATAAATAATTTTTTTATAAAGAAGAAAATTATACGAATAAATCCTTCAAGATACTAATATAAAATCTTAAAAAATATTCTTTATATTTTAATAGAAGAAAATTGAATAAATTTTTAATTTAGTTAAAAACATAATTAACAACATTATTATAAATGAACGTTAATAGTGATGGATTAAAAAAATAGAAAGCAGTACTATAATATTGAACAATGAATGTGTTAAAATCGTTCATTTATAATGAAATGAACTATCGATAATTGAAATTTTTTAATTAATAATTTGATTTATTTGTTTTAGGGCCCCCTTAGTACCTGTCATCTCGTTTGGAGAAACAGATATATACGATCAATATTATTGGCCAGAGGGCACATTGATGAGAAGAATACAGCATTATGTTCGTAAAAAGATCGGATTGGCGCCAGTGTTTTTGAAGGGTCGAGGATTCTTCCAATATTCTTTTGGCATTATCCCGCGACGGAAACCAGTCACGGTTGTCGGTGAGTTTTTTAATCAGACATAATACTCAATATTAATTATAATCAGAATTAATCCATTTTGAAAATAATAATTAATATCTTTCTTGAACGTTAATTTTTATTACAAAAAAAGGAATTTTGCATTAATTTTTATATTATAGCAAATTCGTAGCATTAAAAATTTTCTTAATAATATCTACTTATAATTTAATACTTTTCTTAATACTTATTTTTTAGTAATATTTCAGAAGAAATAATACTTAATAAAAAATACCTACAAATATACTTAATAATATTTTTTTATATTTTTTTAATAACACTTTCTAAATTTCTCTCTCTTGTCAGTCGGTAGTCCATTGGAATTGCCAAAGATAGAGGAACCTACGACAGAACAGATCGACGAATACCACGAGAAATTCGTCAATCATCTGGTGGAGTTGTTCGAAAGTCAGAAGCACAATTACATGAAGAATGCGGATTCGGTGAAGCTTGAGTTTCTATAGTGATAACAAACACGAGATACTATAAATATTTTTTAATAAATCCTCATAGTGGTTATCCGAAGGACGAAGGAATCACTTTTAAAGTTCAAACAAATCATGCTTTGCGTGATTTTAGATATACAAGTGCCGAGTAGACATAGAAGGATATACTTAATTGGGCGACAGGTTTTTAGTCAATTAGATTGATTAGCTTAAGAATTTTCCATAGAAAAGAACCAATAGAGTTAAGATAGAAGAGTAATTATATTGAAAGAATATTTATATACCTTGGCCGATGTTTCATTATCGAGAAGAATAAGAGAAAGGTGAAGGCCTTAAATGAGATTTGCTCAAATTGTGCAAACAATTAATCGATCTTCAATCGTAGCGAAAATTGTAAATTTCTAGTTATTTTAGTTAATTTCTAGGGAATTTCTCTTGAGGGAAAAAAAATCATAAAATTAGTCAACAATTAGTTTTATTGTAAAATCGATGCATACGCACATTTAACATATTTACGTTGGTTGTGCACTTTGTATAATAATAATCTGTATTAAAATTTAATACAAAATACTTTTCTTTGCGGATACTTCGATGAAAGACGCCATTAATATAGCTATGATTAAGAATATCGTGCACCAAGCGGTTCTGCGTAATACCTGTAAAAAGATAATTGTTCGAGTACATTTTGAATAATTCTTATTCGATTGTTGATTTTCTTCATAATGTTTCGACCCACCTTATCCTGCCACTGCTTGTTCGCGATGCAATCGCGAAACCTCATTCTCGAGAAGTGTATTGTACTGTAGAGAGGTATCCATGTTTTTGGAATTCGTTTATAGAGAAACGTGTCTATATATTTTCGAACGAGGAAAGATTTCTTCCTCACCAAATCTCTCATCTAGAAAATTTTATATTAAGTTTGTTAGTAATAGTAGTAGTATTATGTTGATAATATTTAAAATTTATGAAAAAATTTATTTTTATATCTGTATTTTTAAAAATGAAATGATTCCTTATTTGAAAATTTTTCCCAAAATTCTTTGCGTGAATTATAACATTTTATATTTTTTTTTCAATTTTTAATGTTATAATAATCATTAATTTTTATTTAATTCTAACTTCGATAAAGATTTAATAAAAGATTAATAAAATTACCTCGACGTAATTGTACATAGCAAGGTCGCAAATGGCATGTGCATCTTCGCATCTTAATTCCGAGAATTTTGGAAGAATTTTGCTGAAATCCGAGTTATAACGTTCCATTAACTCGTCCAGAAGTAAAACATCCTCGAAACCCTGATATATGATAAAATGAATTACAAAAATAACTGTGGAATCGAAAATAATTATGGACATCTAAATTGTACAAGGAGATAATCGTGAAAGGTAATTTTCTGACGAGCAAAAAGACGTGAAATCGTTCAATCGATCGAGTGAAACTTACCGTGTTCATTCCTTGGGCATAGAAAGGCACCATAGCGTGAGCAGCATCCCCAAGAAGAAGGGTCGTTTTTCCAACATGATAAGGTTTGCACTATAAATGTTTGTAAGAAATAAGAAAATAGTTTAATCATGAATTAAAATTTAATAATTATTTTTATTACTTATTATTTATCATTATCTTTATTTGAAAATTTTTTAATTTCTATCACATAAATTTTTCATATTCAAACGTAGTATTTATCTGTAAATTAATAGAACTTTATAATTTAGTAATTTTATTTTTTTTCCAAAATAATTTTAAAAAAAATTCCTCTTCATCAATTAATAATAAATATAATATTTTTATAAAATTTTAATACAATAAAATGAATGCTAAATAAATAAACATTTTAAAGAAATTTAAAAGAACTTAAAAAAAACTTCAGAATTTATAATTGGGTTTTTTTTGGAAGTAGTCTTCTTCAATCATTTCCTTTCTCTTTGTTAATTAATAGTAAAACATGATCTAAACATTTTAATAGAATTTAATAAAATTTTGATGATATTAGTTTACAAAAGTAATATGTTTAATTTTTTAAAATAATTTAATTATTTCTTTTTTATATTATTTCTTTTTCTTTTAAATAATAATAAATAATAATAAAACTTTTAAAATAAAGGATTCCAATTAACTGGCTCAAACGAAACAACAAACATCCCGGATAATCGAAAAGAAATAATTAGAAATACATTTTTTTATATTTTTTATTTTTATTATTTTCTTTTATAACTCATTTTTATATTTTGAACATTCGCTTACAATTGAATTATAATTATTTAATATACATTTTGTATATTAATTATATGTTTGTCTATCAGTTTCAAAAAATACTGAATAAATGAAGAAAAATATTAATTATAAAAATAGAAAGGAATTTTGGTATTATATAATAAAAAAATCCAGAATAATCAAAATTTTAGATAAAGATCTTGAATGATTGAGATAAATTTTATAAACAATTTGATTAGTCGAGAATTCGTTGTAAGTGAAATTTTTTTTTAAATATTTTTCAATTATATTTTATCCATCGATCAATAAAAATTTTGATTGAAATTACCTTGATAGAAATCAGAGGTTTTGGTTCCCTTTCGAAATAATCTTTAACCAACTTCTGCCTTCCAATTAATTCCACTAGATCAGGAAAATATTCTTCACAGAAACTCAAAAGATCCTGAGGTGTTTTTAGCTTGTCCAAAGTTAAGAAAGGGGCGAATAAATTAACAGTAAAAGTACAGTTGTCGTTGGGCAAAGCTATCATCATGAATTCTCCTCGTGGCCAAATATGAAGATGCTTGTTACTCATCATAAACTTAAAATCCAATAGATTTCAATATTTTAAAAAATGTTTATTTTATTTTATTATTTTAAGATTTTGATATGCAAAATATTTCTAGAGATCAAAACAAACATAAAAAATAATAAAAAAATATCAATTGAGACTTATTATTTATTATATTAAATTTTAATTAAATATTAAATTTTGTATTAGATAAAGCAAGATAAAAATAGCAATGTAAGGGACAGAAAAGTTTCTATCTCGCTTCATCTAACAAGAATTATAGAATTATTATTAATTATAGAATTTATATCTTATATATGTGTGGTTTATATATATCAATGAATAAGCAGAAATCAATTTTTATCACTGATTTAAAAATAGATAGATTTAAAAATAATCTCATACAAAAATAAAAGATAAAAATAATCCCTACGAAATTCTAATCAATCGAATAATATTTTGTTTCTTTAATTAATCATAGCTGAGATTGATATCTATGAAATTTATCAGATTAAAAAAAAAAAGAATAAACATTTAAATGCAAATTTAAAAATAAGTATTATTTATCGTAAAAATTTTTAAAAATTGACCAATCTACTGATTAATTCCTCCTCAAAAATCTCAATGAGCTTAAAATATATTGTAAAGAGTCTCTTTTCTTTATATATAACTAATAATTGACTTTAATTATTCGCAAGAAACTTATTAATTTACTATTGAATTTTGTCTATATATTAATATATGATTATTAAAAGTGATTGGCAATTATATAATAGGTAAGTTCAAAACTCTCCTTCTTTATAAATTTGAACGAAGTTTTTTTTTAAAATTTCTTTTCTAATGTATGTAATGTAATATAATGAGAATTATATTAACAATTAAATTTACTTTAACTGTAATTTTTTTTTCTCTCTCTTTCAAAAAAGAGCCTAAATGCCTTACTATAGATATACATATAATAATATTTATTACTATGTTTGTACAAATAGATGAAAATTCAATACAATAGTATCGAAGTTTATATATAATTTAAAAACTATATATAATAATTTTAATAACTAATAATTTAAAAACTAAGGCAATACGCAAAGAAAAGAATTATTCAAAATAGTGTTCTTACAACATTCATTAAAATTATGAGAAAACTAATTTTCATCTTAAACTTTTAAAGAAAGACTTTTACCTCATTATTTTTTCCAGAAGGGACGAATAATTCAAGATAGCCATGTTCAATATAAGTTTGACTACAGTTGAACCGCGGCTTCTTCGCCATTGTTCTTCTGATGATCGAGTAAGCACCATCGGCTCCTATTATTAAATCAGCTTCCACTTTCTCTATCTTTCGAGTTCTCGTGCTAAAAAATTCAACAAACGTTATACGAAATTATATGAAAATATATTTTTCGAATTGTTTTAATTATTAATTCTTACTCCAATATCGTCAACTTTCCATCATCTAAATCCGCATCCACGACTTTTTTGTTGAAATGGAGACTTACTTCGGAATATTTCTCGGCAGCTGTGTTTTCGATATAAAATCCCCGAAAAACGAAAAAAGTGATTTAAGATAAGTGTAACATTTTCTTTTTACTTTTGATCCTTTGTCATATGAAATCAAAAAATAAATAAATAAATTATGAAACTTTTTGGAAAAAAGATTTACAAGTGTAAATCATTATTTAATGTCCATTTTTTTTCATTTTTTAAATTACATTAAAATTATATTAAAAATCGACAAAAAGAAGACAAAAACTTTTTGACCATAGAATTAGACCTATTAAAAATTCGTCAAAGACAAGAAAAGAAATTAAAACTAATTGATATTTGAATTATCTCATTTTTACTACTACTATATTTAAATTAAATTTTAAATTATTTTTGCAATCAAAGTATATTCAACTTTAAATTATCAATAGCAATTATTATATTTGGCACATATTTTATTTAATAAATAAAAGTTTGAAAAAATTTATACACTTTCAAACATTCTACATTGTGATTATAGAGATTAGAATAAAAAATTTAAGCAATAATTTGTTTCAATCTTTTCAAAAATAGAATTAAAAATGCCTTTTTCCATACAATTATTCCTTAAATTAAAAGAAAAATTCTTTATAAACCATTTCTATATTACTTTTTTAATAAGATCAATCTAACAATGAAATGTATTTAATGCCTCCAGGATTGAACTGAAACTTAATAAATCCTTCGAAAACGCTTGTATGTACGCATCAGCTTATAACAAAACTTTCATGCGCAAATAGACGTAGATCGGATTAAAATGGCACCAAAGTATACGAGTGCATAGAAGATCGTAAGAAGCATAAGCTAGTGGTAGAAAGAAATACGACACGCTCGAATTCTTGTGGCTTCACGCACTACCGTGTCATCGGATATTCAGTGGCCATTTTTTTATTCTTCAGCATAAAAGGATCTCGAATACGTTCAATTTTCAATTTTATCGAGATAATTTAATGTAAAATTTTTTAATTTCTCTCAATGAGAAATAGTATGATTTAATAAAAAAAGATTTATTAGATCTCTTCTTTAAAAAGATTCTTCAACTAATTTATATGTTAATTAATAATTGGTACTATGATAAATATTGAAAAATATTGAAAAATTATACATATTTAATTTATTTTCACTATAAGTGAATAAAAATAAAATTAGAGTATATGTAAATTATTTTATATTTTGTCTTCATTATCAGATAATTAAATTGTAATTTCTGAGATAAAACAATGGAAAGACTAAAATATGAGAGAAAAAATTCTAATAATATTGTTGCAGAGTAATTTTACTCACCATTTAGTAGAACAATGTTTAGATATCGTCTGGTAACTGAATAAATACACTGTAAAAATGAGAATGAAAGTAGCAAAAAAACTTTGTATTTTTTACTCGATTTTCTTTTGGAATCAAGAAAGAAAAAAAAAGAAATCGAAGTATTGTAAAATCACTCACATTTTGATTCACACCATCGTAAAGTATTTCTTTGAGCGATCCATTCTTATTGTGTATCATTCTACCACGCATAGCAATACCATGATGATCGACCACAACCTCCTCAAGGCCAACTGCCCTTAAAGCTTCCCGCCCTCTGACTGACAGAGCCAAGTCAATGCTCTGACCCCAACAATCCTCTGTTCTGATATCTGAAACGAATGTGACCACGGAATTTTTGTATTCATATTACATAAAAATTTTTACATATACTTCTTGCGAATTTCCTTCTATCTTGTATATTTTTTCAAAAAAATAAAGTAAATATATTTGAAACACTCTTTTCATCCTTTCAAAATGTGTAAAAAATACATAAAAAAAAAAATTTCAATTTCAAGTTTTTAAGTCATCTGAACTAGAATTTAATAAAAATTCCATATAAAATAAAATAATACATATTGATTATTACGTTAAAAAATTGAATAAACAAATAAAAAGAAAATAATTGAATTAATTCTCCAATCGAAAAATTCACCTGGACGATATTCATAAATAGACACGGAATGACCCCTTTTCGCAAAAAAGCAAGCTGCCAAAGAACCGACCTAAAAAAATCGAAACTTCACTATTTTTAATAACCTTTGAAATCTTGATTCGATATTGTTTGATTTAAAGTTCTTTTAACAAATTTTAAAATCATCTCGTTTCGTGAAAAATTATCGAAACACGCACCAAACCACCCCCTACTATAACGATTCGCGACTTTCGATCAGTGACTGTCATGGTATACCGTCCTGCACCGAAGCCGCTGATCAACTACCTGTCTTAGCATAATCGTGCAAGCATACATATTTACTATATATACATACTGAGCGAGTCATTTAACATTGGATCTTAAAATATCATTGTCAATTTTTTAATAATCTGAAAATTTTTCGAAGATATCGATCGCCTGAATAAAATACGAAGAAATCGAAGATGCAAATGATGCAAAGATCGATCAATTTATTTGCATGTTAGGATTACAATTTGTTCGAAGATACGATTTTGTTTGTAATAGATAACAGATATTAAATTTATTAAATTTATTTACAATACTTATAATCAATCTTAATGATTAATGATTATAAATGTTGATAATAATGATAAAATGTTGAATTTAATTTTTCTTTTTTCTTTGTTCTTTTTTTAAGAATGAAATGGAATTAAAGAAGAAATTTCATAATTTATAAGGACAGAGATAATTGTAAAATTGTGGAATTATAAAAATTTCGATATTATTGCAATGATTTGAGAGAGATAGAAGAGATAAAAGAGAGATTAAATCAAAGCTCTTTATATCTCTTTGCGTTTTTTTCAATATTAATTATTATCGATATATTATTATTTGGTATAAAATGCGATATCAAATCAATTATTTTTCACGTGAAAGATGTTCAAAAGCTGGATTATCGAATATATTAATAAGTAATACTTTCATAACTTACATAATAGCGATCAACACATTCAAGAATGTATATTTTATTTATTATTTTACAAACTGAAAGATAATGTAATTTGAAAAGTCATTCAGCATATATATATAATATAATTTGTAACAGAGTTGATAGAAATCATTTTTCAATATAATTTGATAACATTTACATATCTAAATTTCATAATTAGACATATATTTGATTTTTCAATTTTATATGATTAGTATTTTAGAGAGAAGAATTTTTAGAAATTTTGAAGAGAAAAAGCTGATTAATAACTATTAATCTGTTTTTGAAGAAACATTATTTGAATATGGAAGATATATATATATATAATGGAAGACCAATGAAAAGAAAAATAAATTGATCAATTCATAAAATCAATCTTTTCATAGTTAAGAAATCTAACGTAAAATTTCGAACACAGTAGAATAAATAATTTTTAATCAATAAAGAGATTGTAAGTAATAAAGGATTTATCTAATCATTAGATATGCAAAATGATTTAGCAATTTTTCCAAATGACAAACCAGAAACAATGGTTGAATTTAGAATAAGAATTTAAAATTTTTTTTACCCAATTATTTAATTGCTTTGAATGAACTATTAATAAGAGGATTCACATAGACTATGGAAATTAATCAATTATAAGTTAATAATATTCAAGGATATTTTAATATTTTATTAAAACCAAAATTGACAAGTGATTAATAATAATAGTATTAGTTAATAAAGAAATGAGATTTTCAAAGTGATTTTAAATTCTTTTAAAAATTCTGTGATATTTGAATAGAGGTATTAATGAGATTCATATATATAAGACCAATGGAAATCAGTGTAAATATAGTGTGATATTTCAGAGATTGTGATTTAAAAAATTTCATCAATGACAGAAATGATGATTCAATTCAAAAAAAGAAAATTGGTATCTATAACAATGTTCAACTAAGAAAAAAGATTAAGTAGATTATAAAGATATGGTTAATTTTAATAAAGAGTGAATTGATATTGCTAAACACATAATTACTGATGGAAGTAAAAATTCATAAGTTTTCTTAAAAATATTGAATCTCAAAATATTTTAGAAATTAGATTTATTACTTACTCATTTTAAAAAATTAAATTTAATGAATGATATAAAATATTATTTTTCTAAAGATTTACCTTTTAGAATTTTATAACTTTTAATTATATTATTATTTATGTAATATTATTCGAAGATCATATTAACATGACTGAATTCAAACACTGTTTACAATGAAAACTGGTTTATTTAATTTCATTCTCACGCAAGTATTCACTCACTTTTACTCATATATACATTGCACGAGGCATCTAAAACAAGCTACTTGAATATCTTGGCTGTATTAATGATAAAAGAAAAATGTGTCAGATCAAACTTACATGATTGAGAGATACATAATTTAATATATATATATCGATTTTTAATAGGTAAACGCACAGAGATCTTTTTTTTTTAAATTATGCAAAGAAATATATTATTACAAAAAAAATTCGAAGTTAAAAAATCGAAATTGATCTTCATATGATTTTTATTCTTCCATCTAATTAAAATTGTTTAAAAATTATTTGTTTCTCTTCATCAAATTATGTGTTTCTTGACACTATACATGTTTAATTTGATACATTTTTTTCTATCATCAAGTCGAAATATTTATATGTCTCACTTTACATATTGATATTAAAATATTTAAATTAAAAATTATAGAATTCTTAAAAACTTCAAAGCTCTCATAAATAGTTTCATTAGATCACAATAATTTCATTATATCACAATTAATGTTAAATCGATACAAAAATATACTTAATAATTTCTTCAAAAATTGATATTTCGTTGATAAATCTTCAACCATAAATGATCATAAATGTTCATTTTATGTTTGATATACTTATATTTTAAAATCATGAATTATTTAAACTTTTATTTTCAGTAATCATTATAGAAACCTTCAACATAGAAGGAATCAAAAATCAATTAATTTATCTACAAAATTTCTAATGGAAAAATAGCATCTTCAAAAATATATCGAAAGAAGAAAATCGTTGTTATCGTTGAATCTCTTAATGCAGAAGGACACAAAGATCCAGCAGAAATTGTCTCATTATAAATAGTCAAGGATTTATATTTTAGATCACATTCTATTAATCATCTAAATTTTCATCTTCACTAATCAAAAGATTTAAGGCAAGAAGAGAGATAAATCACCGCAGAAACTTCCAACGCATGAGGAATCAAGAATCCACTAAAAATTCTCTCAACGCGAGAAGAAAAGAAGCTATTCATCGAAAGAAGATTCAAGCAAAGAATAGATCAACTATTTATAAATACTCTATAATCTCCAATAAAAACAAACTATCAAATACAAGAAGAAAAAGCTCTCTCCAACAGCAAACAGAAAATCCACCTATATCATGATTCCCTCATTACAAAAAGAAAGAAAAACTTCAAAAATTATAAATACTCCAAGTTGCCAATAAAAACAAAAATCATGCAAGTTCACCAGATGCAAGAAGGAAATCTCTCACTGGTCCCCAGCAGGCCAATCGAAAACTTCTGTTCTCTCACTGCAAAAACAAAGAAGAACCTCAACAAACCATCGCAAACCATCGCAAATAGTGCCAATAAAAATACAAATCATGCAAGATTTTATCAAATACCAGAAGAAGGAAAATTCTCATAATTTCATTCAGACCTCCAACCAGATCCTCCAGTTCTTTCCTCGTTACAAAAAGAAACAAGAAAAGTGCAGCTAGCAACTAAACTACTCCAAACCGCCAACGAAAACGTGAACCAATCATGCAAATTCATCATCCAACCAGATCATTCCATGATTCTCTCATGCAAGTTCACCATCCAACCAGATCCTCCCATGATTCTCTCACTACAAAAAAAGAATAACAAGAATCTCAAAAAATATGGATAGCAACTAAATACTCCAAATTGTCAATTGAGAAACCAAAACCATTCAAGTTCACCATTGGATACAGAGAAGGAAAGCTGTGCTTTCCACGTCGAGGTGTTCGCTTCCTCCTGTTCGCTCTCGTCAGGGGATGGCGCGAGGAAGCTGAGAACGGCGGCGACGATGCCGTGGCGTGGCCGTCGTCGTCGGTTTCTTGCGGCGCTGTCCGAAAAATCAAAAATAGCCGATGTGCCAGTCAGTGCGGCGATGTCGACGGCGAACGACGTTTCGACGGTACGGTTCGGCCGGTGGTGGTGGTGCTGGCGGAGACGAAGGAGGAGTACTACCTGCGGGCCAACGACGATGGGAGGATACGCGAAGACGATCGTCCTTCTCGGTGTGGTCGCTGTGTTATGCGCCCTCCTGGCCACCGTGGACGCCGTCGCGAAAGCGAAATCTGACGAGCCATCCCGGCCCAAGGGAGGCCACAAGGAGACCGAGCCTGTCATCGAGGAAGTTAACGCGAAGCAACTCGAGCGGCTCCTCAACGAGAAGGACTTTGTTGCCGTGTACTGGTGTAAGTGTATCTTCCATCGGGAGAATTTTCTAATCTCTTCTGGATCAGGTGGATCAGGATCTTGCGAAGATTCCGACTCTTTGGCGAAGAGTGGTTAGAATCAAAATGGTGATGATAATGATGGCCGCGGTTCTTATTCTTCGTTTTTAAGATTGTCTTCTCGATTTCTGGGTTTGGTGTATAATTCGATAGTTTTCTTTTTTTTAAGAGAAGAGATGAGAGTAGATGGATGGTTCTTTAAGGAAGGGATGAATCGGGTGAACGACGTTGATTGCTATTCTCACGATTTCTGTCTTCTGACCTGTGATGTAATTCGTTTTGAGAATTAAGCATGTAACTTAGGTATTATTTTCTCATAGTTGAGGTTAGATGGATCGAAATAGCGATGACAATTGCAGTTTTTGTATCGAAAAATTCTCTCAATTTTTGGATTTGTGATGTAAAAATTTTCCTATTCGTTGAAATTATATTTATAATTTGAAATTACAAACACAAAATTAACAAATGTTCAACAAGAATCTTTTCAAGCACTTTATTCATGTTTAAACAAAATTCGAATAAAAATCAAATTTTACCCGTCAAAAATTAACAGATTAACGGGTATGAAAACGCATTCTAACAATTGATCGCAA